ATGATTCACAGCACTTTTGAACTAGTATTTATGAGGAGATTCTTTCCCAATACTTGTGGAAGTCTCTCAATACCCAGTGGTCCAAGAAATCATTAAATTAACCAGCATCTAATTTCAATAACTTAATTTAAGTAAGAGTGGGTTTCTGTGACACAGGGATGTTGAAAGAAAAGAATTAGTTTGGTAACTTTGTTCCAGTCAAGATGCTGGATGACTTTTGTAACTGGCTATGAGATGTCCTCATGCTTAGATATTTGTGTCTTTTGGGGACAGATGATTCCCATGGAGTCCAGTGGTAAGCACATGTTCCAGATATGTAACTCGGGTGTTACTGGGTCTGACTCCAGAGGATAAAATGCCAAGCAGGGGGTCAAGGGCAGGGAGCAGAGCTGTTCTGGAAGTAAGAATGCACAGGAATAAGTGTTAATGAAGAGGTCCATAAATGGGAAAAGAGGGTAGAATACAGCATGTGGAAACAGAGACGCTGAAGGTATATTTGTTATGTAAGAGAGTTAGAAGCAGAGGAAAGTCAGAAAGGGTAAGAAGGAAGACTCATAGAGAGATTAAGAACAGGATAAGGACAGCTGGAGGAAAAGGCCTGGAAGAGCCTTCAGTGATTACAGAGAAAGATCTTCTTTCAAACTGCAGTCACTCAGATTGATGCACAGTATTTAAAAGGATGTCATACAAATTATGAGTCATGTTTTTTGAGTGAACAGTGCTGAGCAGATCTGGTAGCAGTTTCAGTGCAGAGGGGAGTGATGTGCTGAAGAAAGTAAAGGGCTGTTCTTTTAGGTCTTCACTAGCAGTTTTTCTTCTACATTTTTGCTCTGTGTGTGTTTTGATTATTCAAGGAGATGTGGTTTTGGGGGAGACTGGAAGAAAACAAAGTTTTGGAAAAAGACTTGAAAGAAAAAAAAGTCTAAAACACCAGGGCAAACCCAAGTCAGTTGTTTAATTTTCAACTGATAGTATTACTACAGTCTCCTTAAGAAATTCTGCTGATTTATGATTTCTATAATGATAACAAGTCCCAAACTGCTAGTTAGAAAAGAATTGTAAATACTGTTTTCCTCTGTAGGTATACTGATGTTTCAGACTCTTGCCATTTTATCGTCTTAGTATTGCGTAATGCAACCAATTCATGTTTTCCAGAGCTTCCCAATTAAGTTAAGTGTTCAGAAGTTTCCATGACCTTTAGGTTTCTTTGTACTCTATGTTGTTTTGCAGAGAGTATGATAGACTTTGTGGTTTACTTCCAGTGTAGCCTTTCTTTTATGGAAAAGATGTCACAATGCAAAAAGGCCATGGTTTTGGGTTGTGTTTTTGAGCATTTAATACAATGCTGATTTGACATTGCTTTTTTATTTTTCTAAAATGTCCTGGCATACAGGAAACTGTATCTCATACAAAAAGGATCAGCAGCAAAATATCATACTTTAAAAGTATTGTTAGGCTGAATATATGGCAAAAATAAGTTGAAGAAAGAAGATCCCCTTTGAGAAGCTTGTTGCAGGACATATGTACCAATATCATATTCAGTACCTTGTCCTCTTCAGTTATATCTGTGTGAGCTCCCAAACACAGGACTGTGTTCACTGAAATTTTTGAGTTTTCTCCAAAACATTATGGTCTAATGGAGGTTTCTGAGGACGATGGGCATCAGCCTGCTGAGTGAATGAATCCAGGCTTCACTGTAACCTTAGAAGATGGAGACTGGAGTTGGAAAAGATGGGAGGTGGAGGCTGGAGTTGGAAAGGGTGGCAGGTGGAGACTTCCCAGGGAGGATGCATGGGCTGCCTTAGTAGATGCAGCACTACATTCATGTGATGCTTTCCATCCAGACCTAAATACTTCATCTGTCTGCCTGGAGTATAAACACAGAAACCTCAGGTCTGTCTGCCCCTGCCTGTGTAGGCTTGTATTTGGAAGCTTGAGCTTATTTCTCAGAGCTGTTTTACTCTTTCTTTAGGCACAGCACTGAACACTAGCGACTGCTCATATAAGAGCACTGATTAATATACATATATATACAGGTACATATACATGTAGCTGGTTGCTCCAGTCCCCCTGCCCTGAATAAAGAAGCATTGCCTGGGGTGTTGCTTAATATTTAGTAATTATGAAGTCCATAGATCTTGTTGGTGCATGCCATCTCCTGTCTGCTGCTTTGGTCTGTGTTTGTTTCTGCACATCCATTAAGGCCTTGCAAAGCAAAATGTGACGACTGACAAGTTTTTCCTGCAGTGTTGTAAATGTGCATATCTTCCTGCAACCTGATTCAAAAAGGCTCTCTTGGTAATTTTTTTTTTTTTTTTAATACTGAAATTTTCTTGAGAAAATACAGTAGATCATGATGAATTTACACTGGTGCATGTAAATATTTTATGTATGAACAGAGCAGTAAAGAACTTAAATAATTCAGCTTTCATTTTGAAGAGTTGTAGTATGATCTCTTATTAATAAATTCATATAACTAATAAGTGTGTGTCTATAGATTTATGTATACGTAATCAAAACTCGTATGAGAGAGAGTGGACTTAACTAGGAAAAAAGATCTGAAAATAAATAGAGAAATAGAACAGCTAAATATGATAAAATAACAATGTTACCATAAGGAGAGGAAAAACCTCTGCTACACTTGATTTTTCTTAAATTATTTTTAGATGTATACATGAATGAGACTCCTTTTCCCCAAACTGCTCAGAAGATTCTATTCTGCAAAAGCCTTTGCTCTGCATCCTCTGTTCTTCAGAGGGGCAAACCTGTGAAGGAATCAATTTACATGTATTTGGGAGAGTTTTTTAAATGTGTAAAGTATCTGGAAGCACTGCAGTTGTGCCTCCCAATCAAAGAGCCAATATATTAATAGCCTGGAAACCAAACTGCTGTATGAAATGATTCCCGTTGCCTTAGGATAAAAGGTCTTTCCAAACTTAAGTGTGTTCGTTTTTCCAATGCTGTTTCGAAGAGAGAGGTTTGGCTTTCAGGGAGAAGTATTGTCACTGTGAGGCTACCTCTTTCTGCACACCTGAAGACCAAGGAGGAACTGAAACCAAGCCTAAAACTGGTGTACATTGCATTAAGGCATCTCTCCTCTGAATAAAGACATCTCTTGAAAATTGTTGTGTTCTACAGTGGTGTCTGAGTGCTACTGAAACTCTTGTCTCTTAAATGCAATGTCTCACTTAAATGTTGGCCTCTTGCTGTTTAGTGTTTGTGTGTGTCCCATCCCTAATTCTCAGGTGGGTGTGTTATGGGTGTGGGGCTGGATTAATAAACATTTTATGCTGCTGAAAAGAATAAGAAATACAAAGTTTTGGCAGTGTTATTGGAAAACTTTAAAATGTGTTTCTGTTCATACTTGGTGCATCTGACTAGGCCAAGAGTTCACTCTTTTTCTGACTTTGAAACTGTGTTTCTTTACTTTTCTGTACATCATTCCTAGTTGATTTTTTAACCTCTAATTGTCTGTCTAACAGTAAATTAGTCTGTTCACTAGTCTGAAAATGTTATTTTCATGCAGCCTTGGTTGGAGGAGAGATTCTTTGTCTTATTCCATTTTTATTTTGACTTGTGTAGACTAAAATTGAACTTGGTCCTCTTTCCCAACCTGACAGTGTCAGATTTGGTATATTTGTTTTGTTTAAAGTAGCCAAAGGTCTGAATGTTGTTTTGATGACTCCTTTGTGGCCTTTTCTTGTCATAGAAGAGGCCAGTGTTTGAGCCAAGTTCATGGTGCAATCTCAGTTGTCAGAAACCTTGTGAATGTCTTCTCTTATTTAACATAAGTATCAGTTGCATTTTAGGTATTATTTTCAATTTACCTGCTTCATAGGTTTTGACCAATAGTTAATTGAAAATGATCGTTTCTTTGAAGAAAATGTCAATGAGGGAGAAAGCTTTTTCACTTTCAGCATTTAGTTATGTGTGTATGGCAGAAAAGGATATTTGTACCTGTATGGATATAGTCACTATGACTGCATATGTAAACATGCTTAAGTCTTTACAAGCTTTCTCCAGCTTTAGCAGTAATAAATTTAAATAAGGCATCCTAAAAATGATGGTTTACCTCTATTCATTGCTCACTGGCTTATGTTATTTAAAGATATCTCAGTCAGTACTTCAATACTCAATGTACTGAACAGTAATAAGAATGACATGCGTTTACTTATCTAGTCTGATACAAGCTATTCTGATGAATGCTAGAGCACTAAACTATTTGAGATAGATTATCTTTATTCTTTTGTTTGAAAAAAGAAGCTCTAATTACACAAGAAAAATAACTATGCTAGTAATTCTATATTATAAGTCACGTTTTACAGGATTAGGGTTCATATATGTGTTTCTGATGATAATTCTGAGATTCATTTCTGTGAATGTGTTTGGATATCAATGGGCTGTGAACATAGTGAAAGGTTTGGATCCTGAAGAAAATAATATCCTTGTCTGAGTGGAGGCAGATATTGGTTGCATGAATATATTTTGTCTGTAAATTGCTGGACTATAATTATACCATAACTGAGATACAATCAAAACTAGAAATATGCATGTATCTTTCCAAACTGGCTATGTTGACTTTTCTCGTTAGTAGAGGTTCATGTTTTCTGAATTCTTATTTGTTTCTTTTGTCGACTACAAAATTTTACCTTTGTGTAAGTGAGATCTTTCTGGGAGTAGTGACCATTTTTCTTGACTTTGTTTTCCATGATGTACAAACTAGTGGTATGTCAGCTGGTAAATGAGATAATGATTCATTCACCATTTGCAAAAAAAAAATAAAAATAAATTGATGGAAATGGAAAGGCCTTTTTTCACTCTAAAACGCAAAACAATGAACAAGCAAAAAGTCTCTTCCAAGAATGTGATTGAATATAATCTTGCAAGTAGTCAACTTATTAAATGACTTAGTTTGATTTTTTTTTTTTTAATGTGATATAAATTAGGAGTTGGCGGGTTGGATAATTCTTAACAGAGGTTTGTTTCTTTCTGTTTTCTAGACAACTCTGCTGAAGCAGATCTGTGGTTGTTGAACAGTTGTACAGTAAAAAATCCTGCTGAGGACCACTTCAGAAACTCAATCAAGTAAGTTGTTTCCTTACAAAGATACTTAGCAATCAATGAATATTGCACATCTTAAAATTTCATACTTTCAATCTAGAAGTAATTTTGTGTTTTAGAGCAAGAAGTATGCTGAGTTTGTTACAATGGTGAGTTCTCTAGAATGGATTTGTAAGGTGCAGTGGATTTTTTTTTTTTAATTAGCTATAACTTGTGATTATCACTACACTTGAATTTAGGAGAACTGCTGATCTATTTAGATAGGGGCTTCTATATCACTTTTCAAGACAATGCTGTAATACTCTTTTGAAGAGTTGACTTCGTTTTTTGGTTTTGGTTTGTTTGTGTTTTTAGTTTTTGTTTGATTTTTTGTTTGTTTGGTTTTGGGTTTTGTTTGGGTTTTTTTTAAAATATGTGAATTTTTAGATTGTTTCTTTTTTCTTCTAACTAAATTTTGTGTAATTGGGACCTTTTATTTAGTGGCGTCCAGTGACAGGAGGAGGAACAATGGCCATAAACTAAAGCACAAGAAGTTCTGCTTCAATGTGAGGAAGAACTTCTTTACATTGAGGTTGTTGGCAGAGCACTGGAACAGGCTGCCCAGGGAGGTCATGGAGTCTCCTTTCTGGAAACATTCAGAACTCACCTGGACGTGTTCCAGTGTAACCTACTCTAGGTGACCCTGCCTTAGTGGGGGGTTTGGACTAGATGTCCAGAGATCCCTTCCAACCCTAACAATTCTGTGATTCTGTGAAAAAGGTGTCAGGTGCATGCTTAAAACTATCTATTTCACCATACAGTTTCTTGAAAGATTAATTGATTAGCTTATAATAGAAGTCTTGTGAAGAATGTGTTTTATTTCTCAGTACCATTCCAGTGATATTAAAGAAGATGACATGGTATCAAGTGTTGCTTCTGATTTCTGTAGGTGTACAGTTGTGATGAGAGTAACTGAAAAACCCGTACACATACAGCTGTAATTGCCCAGTATAAAGAAACATCGTGGTATGTTTCTTGTAGATTTTCTCTACAAGATAAAATGGCTCTTCGTGCAGTCATTTGTTTAGTGCGGTACGCTCTGCAGATGGACTGTTTGTTGAAAGCCATTTTGGTGAGAAAAACATAGTTCTCAGGAAGGGAGAGGAGAGAGAGAAGCTGGATATAAGCTACCTGCTTGCAGTGCTGGAGTTACTAACAGTGTCCCAGGGCTGTAACCTGGGACAGAAACTGTTTGCCTGCAGTAGGTGGCACAACAGAAGCTTCCTCCACCCCTCAGAGAGCTTCACTTCCTCGCTGCTGGTGTTGCACTTGGTGGCCAGAATGACTTTTTGCCTTTTTTCGCCATTGCCAAAAGAAAAAAAAAAAGGGCAAGCTATTCCCAGAACACTTCCAGCAGTTAGTGTGTGTTGGCCAACAGAACTGATGACAAGATCATTTCCAGTTCAGTTGTGGCCATCTTTCTATTTTACTAATGCTGTGCCAGAATTGATGTGGTACGGTGTGTGTCCTAGCAAGTAGAATGGAGTTGGTTAAGAAAGAGGGCTTAACTGAAAGCAAATGACCAAAAATATTCCTTTGAACTTCATGTTTCTGTTGCTACTCTGTTAATGAACCTGGTGTTATTTGTAGCCTGGGTCTATTCGTCTTTATCCTTACTTCTCCATATACTTGCTCCTTTCCAGTAGCATGCATCGTTCATTCTCTTCTCTCAGATCCTGTTAGTTCCCAGCTGTGGAGAATGACAACTTTTGTTGTTATTTTCAATAATGTGCATTAAATATTCATTTTCAATAGGGTGCATTAAATATAGAGGAGAGAACCGCATGTGGGTGCGCATTTGTGGGACTTGGAACTGAAAGATTAAAACATCCTTCATCCCAGAAAAATGCAATACTAGTGTATTTGGATTTTACAATAATGAGGAAAGCTTGTATCTCTAAAGAACACAAATTCACCCAAATACCTCTTAATTTGTTGCAGAAACAAACCCAATGAATGAAGTTTGGGTGATACAGAGTGAGCTGCCATTATATCCTATCATAGCAGCTTGTTGGTAGCTATGGAGATCTTTGTTTTTCTCACTTCAGTAACAAAATAAACATTTAGTGTGTGTTGTCAAAGCAAACAGACTTTGAGGGGAAAAATTAATACTCAGCACAGGAAAATTCTTCTTTAAAATTAAAAAAAAAATTCAGACTGAAAGTGTTATATAGCATTATGAATGTCATGTGGGAAAAGTATTTCAGGTTTGTTTCTTCTCTGCCCTCTGCAACAGTTACTTTCCTTGCATATATACTTTAAAATGCACTGGTTGAAACCAGTGGTAGCATATTTACACTGGTGGTTGAAGAATGACTGTCTGAAAAGCTGATCCCTCACTAATACCATGTGCCAAAGGATGTGTCAGAACCCAACAAAGCCTGTAGATTCCACCTTTTTTGATCTGATTTTCTTATAAAAATGAACCAAAACTACTCCCAAACTCTCTGAACTTTTGCAGATGTGTATATAGTTGATACAAACCAAGTGACAGTATAATCTTCATGCTTTATTTTCTTTTATGTAGCTGTTAAGGAGTGGTCTGCTGCCCTTCAATGTCAATAAAGTAGAAGCTGCTGAGCAGGGGTGATGTTATGGAGAGCAAAGAGTTGCTTAAAGACCATTAATTTATGGATGGGAATTGAGAACTTTTCCTGTGCAGATTTTATTCTCAGTTGGCTAGTCATGAAATAAGATGAAAGTAGAGGTAGGCAGTGGCAATAAAGAATTCTCAGTATAATTATGTAGGTGGAGTTTAAAAAATAATAGTTATGGCTTGTATTTTGATTGGTAATTAATGAATATACCTATTGTGCTTTAGTAGAGTAGTTGCTGGGCATTCCAGGGAATTACCAGCTTTTGGAAAGTTCCAGGAGTGTTGAATACCTCTGATAATTTTTTCTCTAGTGACATTAAACTCCTGCTAAGGTGGTGGGTTCTCATGTCAGGGGTAGCGTGCCACAGAACATACCTCTTTGCCCTGGCCTGTTTCTTAGAGTCCTAAGTGTCTGTGAATGGTTGCAGTTCCAGGGAGTTGATGAAAAACTCAACGTGATGGTTGACATTAAATATTTAATAGCATTTTCTGCTATAATTTATTATATTCAAATATAACTTTCTTAAAACTTAGCTGTTAGCAGCAGTAACACTAAACATTCAAGAGGTAAGTTACTAATCTTCTGTAAACCACAGTAAATCTTTTAAGGCTACTTGATGAAGAGAATTAATCAGAAAAGCATGTTCTACAGGAGCTCACTTCCTTTCAAATACAGTTATTTTGCTCTCCAGTTTCATGCTCTAATACTCTTTCTTGACTGTAACATCTTGGATATGTAACTCACTTTTCCCAACAACCTCTGAAAATTTAGAGACTGTTGTGTGTTTCTATCTAGCAGTCTTCCCCCCTGCTTGATCCGTTCCAGAGAGCTGGTGTAAGTTACTCTCTGTGTTCAGGGACACAGGCTTTTCCTTAGGGAGGTTTCCTGCTGGCTGAAGTATTATGGATAGGATTCCGAGGTCTCTCTTATCAAAATAGCAAGAATTGAGGTCGTCCAGGAGGTGTAATGTGGTAATGCTGTTGAGGAGTTTGTGACTTGTCTCATGGTATAGAATAAATTTGACCACTGTGAGCATCTTTGTTACTATATATAATTAACAACATTAACAGTGTTCTGTGATGTGTTTGTTGCTTCATTCATTTAAGGGACTCTTCAGTGTGTACTCAACCCTTTTCTTTCTGATAGCTATGAGTTGTGACAGATGTGAAGGCTTTTAGCACTGCAGTAACACTGTGTGACTTCCATTCTGTCCTTGCTTCAGTTTTCACCAGTTCATGAATAAACACTATGTATGGGATCTCACTTTTATGCTAGAAGGAGCATCAAAACCTGTAGAATTTGTGGAAATGTTAGTTTAAGAGGACAATGATTGCAGACTATGCAAGTTGTTTTAAGGCTCTCAGTGGATTAAATTGAAGAGTAAAAGACATGACTGCCTTTGGATGCAGCAAAGTTTCTCTTCACCAAATGCAATTGTGTTGATGTTAAATACAGAAGGAAATTATTCTTTAACAAGTACAAAAGCTTTTTCAGAGATAAGAGTAATTTTCTGCTGCTTGACATCTTTGCAAGTGAAGGTTGGAAGAAGGAACCCTGGAAGAAGGTTTTTTGTTTCTTTTTTTTAACATTTCTGTATGTTTATATGATACATTTTGCAAGTTGAGCAAAACCAAAAATTGTACACTGTGCAGTGTTTAACACTTGCTTTTACTAATACATTTGCAGTGTAGAAGTAGACTGTGATTTACACTTGTTTATATTGTTCACGCAGTAAAGTTTAAGCTGTGAAATACCTCTGGAAGACGAAACATAAGTATTTCAAAGCTCTTTATTTCATAGATGCTGTTAGCAGAAGAAGATGACTTCCACTGAGTGCAGGTTTCTGAGATGAATGTCAGAGCCTGGCTGTTCATTGCATGTTACAGAAATAGTGTATTGCTGTGACTTTTGGTGTTTGTGTCAGAGTACTTATGGTAGCAGGGCAGTAGTGAGAACTGTAGCTAGGGGTATTGCTATTTTCTGTTCATCTTGTATTGAAGAAAATGTGAGGAAGATCTGGATTCTCTGAAGTGAAAATGCCTGCAGAACAAACTTCACTGGGTGGGAAGAAGCTTGGCAATTGTTTTTTTTTGGTTGGTTTGGTTTTTTTTGAAAAGTCTTACCAATAATACTTCTTGCTCAGAACCTCTAAACTAATTCAGATAATGTTGATGAAAATCTTACCATTTTCCGGGCTTACAGATTGATGAAATGCTTGTATTCAAGATATATGCTATACTCACCGTGCAAGAGGAACTTCTTCCCCAGATAACAGGAGTTACTTAGTTTTGAGTGGAGGCTGTAAATCTAATAACTAGAATTTTAAATTGCAATTCTTGCCTAAGAACAACCAGAGCAGCTTATGTGACTGATGCAGTTGCTTCATCT